AATATTTGATGGCATATCAAAACTGCAAAGTAGACTATCTAGCCGTAGCAGTCGATTACTAATGCTACTTGGTCGCAGTTGATTTGCATGCTTGGTCCAAATCAAAGTACCCACTCTGACCTCATAGAGTACTTGACCAAGTCTTCTCCGGATCAATTCTATCACCTACTGTTCCGGCTGCTAGGAAAGGAGTGCTTGCCCCGTTTACACCGAAAACAAGCTTATTCGCCAATTTGTGTTTCTGATGTCGTCCAAGATTGACAGGTACCCACCCTCACATTGACTCTTGGTGGTGATCAGCTAAAACTCGTCGAGAAATTCAGGTAACTGGGCAGCTATATTTTTGACCATGGAATCGCCGAGGAGATCGCCGAGTGCATTGCACAAGTTCCAGACGCTTTTGCCAATCTCCGCCACTTGTGGCGCCCGCCCGACATCACTCTCGCCCTAAAAGACATGGTTTACAATGCAGTCATCAGCTCAACACTTCTGTCCGGTTGTGAAACCTGGCTCATCGAATCGCGAGATTTACGAAGGCTCGGTAGGTTTGATCATTGCTGCCCTCGCAGCTTACCTCATGTCTGGTGGGAACACCGCATGGGCAATAAACGCTTTCGGCGTCGTTTATTTGGTTCAGTATGTGCGAGTTAATCGCTCAACACCGGGCTCCTCTGTCTCTGTAATGTGATCTGCGTGGCAGCACACCGACACCCGTGTCGTGCTTATTTACGCGACCGGGGTGTGGATGGAAGAAGAGGGGGGGGAGGCCAAGCATTGACTTGGTCACTAGGTGTGACGACCCTCATTTGGAAATTGGCGCTGATTGGGGCCTCCCGACTGCGAGGCCGGGTTCCTAAAGACGATGAACACGTTTGGTTGGAGGACCTTGTTAACATGGCGAAGAGCCAACGACAATGGTGTTCGTGTTATTAGTTTCTTTCTTCCTCCCCATCCGGGTTATCTTCTTCCCACAACGACTATCTCACACCTGGTGCGTAATATGATACCATGCATAACATTACTTTCTTTTTTGATTTGCATCTTGTATTCTGTAATGATCAGTATCTCGCTTTTTCGTTTATATGATTTGTTTGTATTGTGACGCACCAGGTTAAGTGTATTTCTTACTTTCAGCTAACGTATAATGATCATATTGAAATACGCTATTTGCTCATATACTTTACGCACATCTGGACGCATATACTGCCCTATGTTAGCTAAAACGACCATGTGTGCAGGTGTCATTAAGTTGTTGGTCAAATCCTACCATGGTTATTTGTCATCTCCTCAGCTTTTTCGGCGCACTCTTTATGCTGTATTTTGGAAGCAAGTGGAAATTTGAATCTGTACAACGCCATCGAAATGTGATCAAAAATGTCAAAAAGCGATCTATGTCCTGTCAACACACCGATCGATTTTTAAGTTATCACATGGTTTACTAAAAATAACATAGAACTCCCGATAAATTGGAACTCACAAATATGACGTATCATTGTCGGTGGGTGAATATTCTGGGAATCTAACACTGGAGAAATGTACATCCAACAATGTTTGCTTCAACGATATGATCTGCTAAACTGTTCCAAACGTCAGGCAACTTAACTCTGGACCCTCTGCTCTACGCTATCTTTTGGAGTATTGGAACCTTAACTTTTGCCTGGAAACTTTAGTAACTGAGTAAACAAGCGCGTAACCACCAACCAGTGAAGGGGATCTTCAGCACAATTGTCATTGTCCTCCAGCCATTTCCTTGTCATTTCCTATCCCCTCGATTGAGCAAGAGACTGCCGCCGATATCGCAAGTTGCTACCGTCCGCACTCTGGGTCAGATCGGCCAACAGGCGGTACTAATTCTCACTCTTCACTCTCTTGGTTTTTGAGGGCTGTCTACAACCACGCATACAAGATAACAGCGTCGTGCATAGTCTTAGACTCTCTAGTTCCGAATCCACTAGCACTAACTCCTCAACCGTCAGTGGAGACGACGGAATATCAGACTGTCAGTGAAAGGTAGGGTGTATAACGCTGCGATAAGGCCAGTGTTGCTGTGTGGATCAGAAATCTGGCCAGTTCGCATTGAGGACATTGAACGCTTCGCCGTGTTTGATCACCGATACTTGCGGGGTATTGTTTACCTGTGGTTGGAACACGAACTGAGCAATGCCTAGGTTCACTAGTTGGTTTTTGGCAAAAAATACCCCCGTGCCTCACTCAAGTGTTTTCCAAGAGTCAACCGCTTACGGTAGCCAGGTCACGTCCTCCAGGTGCCCATTGACCGGCCTCCTCGGTGTGACTTATGCGCCGTGGCGTAACCGCGGAACCGCGAGGTGGCCATTCGATGATATGGCATAAAAGTATGCAGAAATTGACTGAGAGACTCGCTCAGGCTGCTACGTACCGTCTTCGTGGATGGGTGGTCGCAGGCCCCATCATGCATGGCGCAGTCAGGGGCGTTCCTGAATTCGGTTTCTCACATCTAGATGTTCGTTTTCCAATTCCATTACCTACTTGTTCCATGTTTCTCCTATTTTACTTCCATTCAACCTCATTTTCTTCCCGTTGTTTTTATTGTTATGCTAGCGATTTGAGTAGTGGTAATTGGACCATAGGTAATTAACTGAACTGGTTCTGTCTGAAAGAGCTCGGGCCATTGTATTTGGCATTATCCGATTGTTTTATAAAATTGATTGCAGTTGTAACGGTAGGTTGTTTCACATCTAATTTTCAAACCTTACCCCCGGTAGCCTAGCTGTATACTGTCTGCCCTTCGCCTTTGCTGGGTTTATTCTGATCTTGAGGCTGGCCAACTATGTATTGTTTCCCATAGAATACGCCACCTCTTATATCAAATTCCCTTGTTGTTGAACCGGTGCGTATCCAACAATCTTTCCCGATTCTTTAGAAGCGCAATTTATCCAGCATTAACACGCGTTCGATTAGGGATACTAACCTATTCCTCGCGTTCATTAAACTGCATCTATTGATTCTTAAGCTGCAGACACAAGCGACACAGCAACAACTTATATAGAACTAAATGAAAGTGTTATACGGTGGCCTTGTTTGTTTCATTCACACAAGTTATCGTTTATCCATAGTCCAGCTGTCGTTTTCTGTTGTGCTCCACTCTCGTACTTGTAACGTGAATGCTATCTGCTTCTACTGATCCGTTTCCAGACAATTGCACGTCATTGCGCTTCGGTGCATGATTCGGAATCGATTCACCTCCATGCTTTACTTTTTGTGACGAAAACCAGTGACTTTGGGGTCTACACTGTTGGTGCGCGGTTGTTCGGTCGGGTTTTCATGTTTACATGCGTCGTTTTCCCCGAAGCACAACGTTGGTGCGGTTGCGAGTGAAGCCTAGATAAACTTGATGGACAGCCCAATGTGAACCCATCTGGGACCACCACGCTCATCACCTCTACCACTGACACTTACTCTAAGCCTATGTTTGTGGTGAACGTTTGCGTCGGCAGGCAGCACACTTCACTTCGGAGTGCACATTGCAATTCGTAAACGATTAAGCGAACGTTCTTTGGTCATCACCTCACATGAAACCTAATCATGCCTTCTTGTGGTCATATTCCTTCTACTCTAAACCTGTTGTCACAGTGGGTTCCCGCTGAGAATTCGCATCAATGGTATCCATTTTCCACTCTCTTCTCACTATATCCAGCAGGCCATTTGAGCCGTCTCTTTATCCTGTCTGATGGAAACACTTGTTCCCGTCCGTATCACATTCTCAGTGTACTTAACGCTGGTGTGGCTGCTCATCTTTTGCTTAGGCTTCATATACTCAGGTTGCTCTGGAGAATAGATGCTTTGAATCGTTTATGGAACCAGACGGAGTGGGGCTCTCGCATCCACCGAGTTGGTGCGCCAAAGAACAGCTGATTGCGTCCAAGTATTCATTTCAACAGAGTGCCCAATTGACATCGCGCAATTTAGATGTGCTTAATTTTACTGCTTGATACGGGTGCATTTTCGCACGGTATCAGCTACCAAGCTTTTGTTCTGTGGTGCAGTAGCTTATTTTCCAGTGAGAGGATTGATGCCATTTCACGATTCTTCGCTTCAACTCTATTTTATGTCCTCCGTTACTTTTGTCACTCGGCGAAAGCCACTCTGGCACTGCAGTAAACCGTACCTTAAACTCGAACCACATGTACCTATTAATCGTGTTCCTTGTCTGTCTGTCCACGGTTCACCTTGGTTTGTGTTTCTCCTCGTTGCACATATTTCATCCAAACAGGGTGCCCAGCTAACACCACCCCTAGCATGAGACGGAACAAAAGGCCTAACCACGCTAGTGTCTTGAATAAGTACTAAACCGTGTAGTACGTCCTTGATCGCAAGCCTGTACTTAGACTGTGCGTTTGGGAACTTCTTGCAATATTCGTACTCGGCTTCCGTTTGCAGGCTCACCGAATTGTCGGTCCTGAAGCTTTTCCAGCCCAACAGCTCGTCTCCACTGACTTATTACAAGTATATTTTCATGATGACGCCGTTTTGAGTCTGCCCACTTCGTCGCTTTGGTAATCTGAACCGAATGGAATCATGTCAATGTTAGACCACTATTCACTACTCATTGCGCACACCACTCTGCTCCAGACTGGGTTGTAGTGCTTTGGGTTTATTTGATAGATTGGAGAGGCTGGTTAGCACTATGGCGGTGTATGCCCGAGTTAATACTGTCGGCTGGATGCAGCTTATTTAGTGCTGAACCAAACAGCACACTATCTATCATGCCCATAGGGGTTCTACTCCGGATGGGTGGCAGGATCCCTGTGCCATACCATACTTCCCGTTTCTTCTTTTCATTCTCTCCCCATTATCCTCTCCTTCTGTGTGTGAAAATATCTGTATGCTTCTAGACACAGACATGGAATTGGCTTCCTAATAATCAATATAGCAGTTGTTATTAATATTTATCATTATCTGTTCTTTAACCACTCCAGACTAATGGAATCTCGCAATGTCCCTTCACTCCCATATGTCAGTTTTTGGTCCTGTTTTGGTCATCGAATACTGTCCCCGCGGTAATCTCCGTTCGTATCTACGTTCCCTGCGATCGAATCTCACCCAAAACCAAATAGAAATGTCCCCACTCCAGAACCAGTTGTTGTCCTACGTCAGCCAGGTTGCGGAAGGGATGCGGTACTTGTCATCACGAAACGTAAGTCACCAAGCTCCATGTTGTCTACTTAGCCTCTGAACTGTAAATGATGTTCTTTAATTGCCATCCAACATGCTGCACGCATGTGCACAAAGTGTTGGGTCTTGACGAAATTTAACTCACAAGTGGCTATCTATACTGACAATGGAACAATACTTAATTACGGGTAACAAAGCATGGCTTGACAAGTCCCGTGGGATGGAAATTATTGCGAAAATTAACTTGCATCGGCTGGAATCAGCTCCATCGGTGCTGTTGGGTTCAGCTGAATATCCAGTTTGTGCATCCACATTTAGTTACTTGCATTGTGGTTGTCTTACTGATATTCGTTCACTCTGTGTGGGTTTGAAAGATGACCAATGCTTATACGCTCCTAGGGCTAGGCTTGACGAAAGGGCGAGCAAACGCAGCACACTGCCACAATCATGTGTTACAATCCTAGGTGAACTATTTTAGTCCCAGTGGTCGAATCGGATGTATGAAGACGCTTAAATACTAAACGCACCACACTTTTACGGCGATAAGAAAAAACCAGTTGCAATGTATAACAATTGGTACACTTCAGCTTGCCTTAGTCCCGGGATGGAAGATTAATATACCAATAACGATTGGAACGAGCAATTTGAACAGCAGGCTCATCGTTACCCACACGACGGTGCATGGTATGGCACCAAATAACCATTCCAAATATAACGTTTGAAAATGGAAAATCCTACGGGAACACTGCAACCGACTCCCAACAATGGGGGTCTCGCAGTGTGCATAAGAAATATGTGTCACCACAAATCAAGGGATGATGGAATTACTACATTTCACTTCCGTATCTATATCTTGGCGAACGGTGACAAGTTCCTATTGCACTGTGCCATTTGTATACCTGGCCCCTTAGATCAGCGGACATAAAGAGGCTAGTTACGTTCGACCACCGGTGCCTTTGCAAGTTAGGTCACATCTTGCGGTAACACCGCGTGAGCAACAAGCGTGTCAGGAAATGAACCGCTCAGCACCGTTATTTCACGTACCAGGCTCCGATGGCTCGGCCACGTGTTACGCATGCCAGCCCACCGACTCCCGTGAGGTGCGTTGTTTGCGCGCCGGAGGTGTGGATGGAAGAAGAGGAGGGGTGGCCAAGTGTAGACTTGGTCGAGAGGAATGAAGGCCTTCACTTCGAAGCTGGCCTCAGTTGGGGCGTCTCGGCTCCCTGGTTGGAGTCCGAAAGACGATGAACAAGTTTGGCTGGATACACTTGTTGATATGGCTAGGAGCGGACCTCAGTGGCTTTTCTGCTGTGAGTTTCTTCGTCCCATCCCATCCCTCTAAGCCTCCTCCTCCAACCACGATCTCATTATGTATCATATTATAATTTGCATTATTATTTTTCTGCTGCATAGTAGCCGGCTGGTAGCTTACCGGAACAATGCCCATCCGTTACCGGTAGCTCAGCTGGCTTGCATCTGTTGCATTTTATTCTTTTTTCTTTAAGGTATTGCGGCACAGTAACTGAGGTGTTTCCCACCTCCAGCTAACGTGTGTAGTGTGTGTGTGTTTGTGCGATTTGTATTGACTGAACTTTCGTCAGCCGCATTTTAAAGCATCAGCTACACTCGGGTTTTAAATCTCACCGTCAGGAAAATTCTCCAGCGGTTGTACCTCAAGGGTCATTGTTCTTCTGTCGACGATATTGGGGTATTTATGACCAAAACACTTATTTCTACAAACCAGGTTACGCTGGTCGATCCACACCTCAGGAATCCATAGAGTTCGACTACCCCTAATTTGTGCTCACAATTTCTCGGTTTTTTTGAAGTACCTTCGACATCTATTGGTTTTGATCTGCAAACTAAGTTTGATCACGACTTACTTTCGACTGTATTTCGTCGTTTGCAGCCTGTGGGGTTATTTTGGTGCGGGCAATTCTGTATTGATCACCTTTAACATGGTTGGCTGCTTCCTTCGTTGGACTCTTCATGAGTATATAAGCGTACATGGTAATCACATCCAAGACGTAATACTTGTCGCCGGTTGCTAGTACTGCTTTGTCGTTCGACCTTGTGCACAACGCCTGAAGGTAACGAGCTTGGCTTGTAGGTTGACAGCGCTGATTCGAATATGCGTAGAGGCAGGGCGACCCTCACAGTATCCTTAGCTCACGTACGATCGGTGGTGGTTGCACGGCAGCGAAGCGTCCGTACTGCTTACCAGTGTACTGTTGGTTCTTTTTTCTACTTTTTCTACAACGCTTATTATCATAGCTAGGAGTACATTTTTGCTAGTCTGGGCGCACTCATTAGTCAGGATTCATTGTGTCCTGGGTTCGAGTTATCATTACAACAGTCAAACAGTGAACAAATGCCTTCAATGGGTTTAGTTCCTGGCACGTAAACACAAACGTGACAAATGTTACCACAAGTTCCGGTGCTGCTCTTCACTCTAAAGCTCACTGTCATCATGGATATGGCTCGTGGATAGTGCCTTTTCGGAGTGAATTCCACAGACGGTGACGTCTGTCGTGTCCCGCCAGCCGTTGAGACGGTGCTCGGTAGCATAGCACCACAGTTGTTCGCCTCTACATTTCGGTAACTGCCATAGTGATGTATACAACGGGCTGCACGTGTTAATCTTCGGATGGTCGTATGAGGTTATTCGGCCTCTGCTCTCCACGTGCTCTTTGCATCGTATCAACTGGGGGCACATTGTCTTGGGTATCCTCCTTTTAGCGTTCATAGTTTGGACCCGTGGTTGTTGACTACATTCTGGGTACATTGAAATTATTATCGGATCCACACATGTTGTTAATATCTGGCAAAACCTGACAACTTTCTACCAATAGTTGCACTGTATTGCCTTCGGCATGAAGAGCATGTTTTTCTGTCTTGATGAAAGGGTGCCTGAGCCTGTACGCATGTTGTGTATCACACGATCGATTCTCAACTTGTACAAATAAGGTTGTACAAGGGGTAGCGGGAAGCGTTTTGTCGGCACTCCAAACCTCTACTACGTGCTGTCTCTGTACCTGATAATCATTACATTAATAATTATAGGTATATTTCTCATCAGCTCATAAGCCGCGTCCATAGTTAGCGCAAATTATACTTGTGCATGTAGTCCCATGGTCTTTCATAGTTAATGCACTATTGTGTGCTTGTCTTTATCGGAGGGAGTTTCAGCTGGAGTATATGGCTACAGTTTCACGTTTTACCGTAAGCACTAAGCCATTGGTAGATGTCCAGGATTCGGCGGTCACTAAGAACGGCTTAGTGTGTGGGTTTTTTCTACTTTATCTATTGGGTATTATCTGCGTATCCTGAAATAGTTAACCGGACGACCTTCCCCATGAGAACGTGGTCATAATCATGCAATCATCATCATCAATACACATTAGCTAAGGGCGAGAAACACACATTACTGTGCCGTAGCACAAATAGGATATAAGTCATTACAGACTACAAAGGGTAAAAATTTATGCCATAGTGCTAAGTATCATATTATGCATCCGACTTGAGATCGTTATTGGAAGGTGAAGCTAAAGGGCAGGGTATGGACAACGAAACTCACAGCACAAACGCCATTAGGGTTGGCTCTACGCCCTTTCAATATGGTCATCCAACCAAACATGTACATTGTCATTCGGACCCCAGCCAGGCAGTCGGGACACACCAACCGACGCCAACTTCGAAATGAAGGATTGCATTCCTCTTGGCCAAGTCATCGCTTGGCCAACCCTCCTCTTCTTCTGTCCAGAGCCCGTTCGCGCAAATAACGTACGACACGGGAGTCAGTGTGCTGGCATACGCAACACGTGGTCGGGCTATCGGAGCCCGGTGCATGAAATAACGGTGCTGACCGGTTAACTCGCTCTTCTTGCACCAACTGCGAGACACTGAACACGCTCATTGCTCACACGGTGTTCCCACCAGACAGGAGCTGTGCTACGAAGGCAGCGATGGTCAAACGTAGCAAGCCTCTTTATGTCTATCAATTTAATGTGCCTGGTTTCGCAACCACAAGGAGAGCTGCATGGACGGCTGCATTATAAACTATGTCCTTCAGGATAAGTGTCATGTCGAGCCTGTGCCACAGGTGGCGGAAATTGGTAAAATTACTCCAGCTTTTGCTAAATGGTCGGTGATCTCATCAGCAATCCCATGGGCGCAAATATGGCTGTCGATGACCTCTAACTTATCATCGCCAAGAATCATTGGAAGGATGGGTCGCTGTCGATCTTGGCGAAGGAGTTTGCACTTCGAGATCGAGGTACCTTCCAAACTTACTACGGGGTTCTTTTATGTTTTCACACGACTCATTTATGATTGTTAGCCTACTCCAATAGGCAACATATCCAATCAGATGGAAATCGGATTGCATATTTTTCTTGCATCTTGATGCAACCAGACTACGAAGCCCCTTGTTCGAACTGTGCTGTACTTTTAATGAAAGTAAATTGCGAACGTTTTTGTGAATCATGTTATATAATAACATCTAGCCAAAGCTGATCGAATTGTTGTCGCCGGCATTTCTCCCGATAATTCTTGGTGGAGTTTTTATGTACTAGTCATTTGGCAAACGACTTATTTAAAATTTCCAGAGCTGTTCCGTCAGTTCCTCATGCTTCCACAAATTGGATGGATGAACAAATTAAAAGTTCAACTGTGGCTGGGATTATGAGAATCTTGTTGGATATAGTGGCTACAGATTTTCTGGCCTACGCTCTATGCTACTCGACCATCTCTGAAAATTTGAATGTGCATGCCTGTACGCTTCCTAGATTTCAGGTGTGCATCTGTACACAAAGTATTTCTTTATGGATTTGTTATGTCCCTCGGACATCAAACCACCACGACATATGATGCTTGCTTGTTACGAAGTATCTCATTGAGAGAATTGCCCTGTTCTCCGAGCCGGGCATTTCGCTTGCAGACGTTTCGTTACCAAACTAGGCAACATCTTCAATGCGGCTATTCAGTCCCGATTCGCGGTCTCGCAAACCAATGTCAGATCCG